TGTGTAAGATACTTTTTCTATAAAAATATTAAAATGTTCAATTTAACTATTACGATAAATTGTGGATAGATAGGCGTGTATTATAACATTCAATTAAATCTAATAGATTATTGTGTTTCGCGATGTGTGTTCAGGAAGGAAATGTATAAATAATATTTAAATTCTGCACTAAATTATCGAGATATTCTATTTACAATCTGAATCTCAATAATAATCCAAATATTAAGGACTAAATGGTAAATGGCATAGATACATTTCAAAGTTGTTTTCGTCACTACAAACGTTAACATGGACATCATAATATCTTTACAAATGTTTAATACATACATGAGATTGTTCTTTATAGTAGTAATACTTAATATTATATGGTATAAATAGTTTGCTTACATTTATTTCGATGACATGTTGTTACTATATGTTTTTGCTCGTTCACACAATATAAGGTAGAATATATAATGTATTTGAAATCTCGATAAAAGTTTGTGCTTTTGTTGAAATTACAACAATAATAACAAATGCTAATTGCGCTTAACTACTGGAATTATATATTATTAAAACTATACCTGTAATATTAGCACCATAACTGCATTGTTTTGTAGATGAATTGCGCAATGAGAGAGCTTAATATAATTGAAATGAATGTATTGTTCATGTTTCTAAACATTTACAATTGTTTTCAAAATTCTGCGCTGTACAAAATTTTATGAATATACAGTAAAACTCGAAATTAAAAATGATATAGAATGCATAAAACACAAATCCCTTATAACATAATGGTGACGTAAAAAATTATAACCTGTTTTAAGAAAAACGGAAATATTGAATATAAAACAATTCATGGAATGTTTCAAAATATCAGCACAACTTCAACATCAAAATGTAAATTTTTCTTAAAAACACATATATGCATATAACCTAAGTAGATATAAGTTTCGTTCTAGTAAAATGACATTTATATGTAATTCGTAAAATATTTTAGTACAAATTAATTAGAAATGTTAAACATTTCATTCATAAATGGAATACATACTTGTATATCTAGTTTTAAAACATTGTTTTTATGGATATTACTAAACATTATATTATACGCAATAAAACTTTATTATACTAATATTTAAAAAATATGGGGAAAGATAGGTACACTATTTTATAAAAATGAATACTTTTATTATCTATCATAAGCTGTTATGAGAGAAATACTAAAATTTTACATTTATCTTTTATGAGCGGTATTTCTTCCAAATGTAAATGTAAATAAATAAGAGTTATCTTGTTTTAAAATCAAAGCTAGTAAATTTATTATTTAAAGATATTTAAACAGACATTAAATCTTTGTATCTTTTCGATGCATAAACCTAAAAGCCTAGTACGATCCGTAAATCATGATATACAGTTTATAGCGACATGAGAACATATGTCCATTGTATCGTTATTAAAAATCAGGTAAATGTATTGCAAGAATAGTAATTTTATTAACAATAACAAGAATACCAAAAGTAAATTTTTTCTTTTTAAAGCAAATGTTATGGAAAAGCAAGAGCAATGTGGAATTGTTCCAATTTCTTAATCTTATGTACTTTATGATGTTAAATATTTTTGTACAATGAACAAAATAAATTTAATTAATAAACTATTACGAAACTATACATATATATGGGCATGTTTCTAACATTTGTATAGATATCTCTGTTTTGATAACCATTTGTTTCAATATAAAGTGTAGATAGTTACATATGATGAAATAATAATTAACTGAAGAGAATAATTACGATTTTTAATATTGAAGGTGCTGATCCAAGAATATTTGGGGAAGAATGATCAATAAACGACTGAACATGACTTAAGTGTTTTCCTTTTACTTGACTTTTATAGATTGAGAGAGCATATAGTGCAAGTTTGAGCGATGCAGTGCGCGTGTAAGCACGATGAATGCGTCAAAGGTGTCGGCGGTGGCGATGAGGGCAGTGGCGGTGGCGGTGGCGGCGGTGGCGAAGGTGGTGGCATGTACAACCACCCAGTACTAGTTGGCCAAACAGAGCATGATGCAGAGGAAACCGAAAGCAACGGATTCGTAATATTCCCAGCTGTTATGTGCGATGTTGATCCACCCTCTACTCACATTACCTAAAATGTGCAAGTAATCTGTATCGTATAAATACTTAGGATTTGGTAAAAACTGCTACACAACATATTTTTCAAATTCTACTCAATTATTTACAATTTAAATTCTATTAAATAATGTAAATTGCGCATCTGTCTGGCGTGTATTTAAAAAGAAACAAAATTCTACACACAGTACGTATATCCGGTTTAAGTAGATACACGTTACTATTTCTCGAACTTTTGATAATACAAAAGAATGTTTTCATATAAAAGTTATTTAGTATTTTATGGGGAAAATTCAATAGTGTATTACGTATGCAGCCTAACCGAAACGACGGCGCCTGGTGTTTACAATTAGTCTAGTACACACGCCTTGGATAGTGAAAGGGATAGGGCACAAAGCGAGCTCATTCCGTTCCCACGGAAATTTGGAGGGAAGGGGGAGGAGTGTGGACAGACCCGAAATATAAAAGCTGCAGCCAATCGTTAGTTTCCGAGATACTGATAAAAAACTTTCAATACTATACATTGAAACTGCGTATATAGACGTGACATTGAATGCTGCCTATACAGATGTTACTAAATAATAATAGCGGTAGCGGCAGCCTCAGTATCTATAGGGTGTTCCACGTAAAATTTCGACGAAGCGATGACTGTTCTGATATTGCCGACCGCCTAAGAAAACGGTTGCATTAGTAACATCTGTATAGGCAGAATTCAATGTGTTAGTCACATCTGTATACGCAGTTTCAATGTATAGTACTGAAAGTATTTTGTTAATATCTCGGAAACTAATGATTGGTTGCATTTAATATTTTATAGTTGGGGTCCACCCACTCTTCGGAACTTTATTCCATTTTTTACGCTCTCTGGTTCAGTCTTTTATCAGTTCGTTACTCTGCCAGTCGGAACATCGACACGAAGCAAGATCGGGTTGCATTCCCTTTCAAGCATTTTACTGTACTCATACTGTACGTAAGTGTCGGTTAGATAGTACTGTCTAAGATTCCCCCGCAGTCTCGCCGTGTAAAGTTGAGAAAGGATATTCGTGCACAGTCGAGAATTGACCAATTTCATTATTTATAATGTAAGAAACGGGAGCTTGTACGATGCACAGTGGGCCAGGAACCCCCCAAAACAGGCCAAAAGTCGATTTGAGAATTAGCGTAAAAAAGACATATCATCATACTCAGGAATAGTTAATGTACATATTTACAAAATATTTTGTAGATTCAACAATTCCTGTTCCATTGGCATTGATCTAAAGTTGGTAAACGCTTTAAAATTGCTGGTATGTCTCTTTCTGGTAACATGAGTGTTATTCATTATTTTATGTATAATTTATGAAATTTTTTTTTATTTATTTATTAATAGATACATGTCAATTAAGAATAACACAGATAAGTTACGAAAGTTAACTAGAAATTGTAGTATTTTATTCTTTACTGTCATACAGTAACCATATTCCGCTGTATGTTCACCTTTCAATTAAGAATTCCCCTAAGTTCCACCTCTTATCAAGAAAAATGAATCTTAAATGTGTTCTTTGGAATGTATACTATAAGATAGGACTGCTCCATTTTGCTCCTTTTGATGTCCTATTGAAATAAATATTATTTAATAGCGGTCGTACGCGCGCAGTTGGATACTAGACTACGGTCAAGATATCAACTTGAAACTTTTAGATGTTAAATGGTATATAGGGATTAACATTTTAGAATGTAAGACATTGTGGGGGTGAGTTCCTTAAGGGTGGAAATGGTTCCACACCCATTTTTTTTAAATGAGATGGCATATTAATTTTTCCATATTCGGAAATATGTTATCAAACCTAACAACTCTTTATCTAAGGCATTTCTTTTTATTCTGCATAGTTAAGGAGTTATAGCGGAAAAACTTTACGGAAGGGGAATTTCGTGTCTGTGTCGAAATATATCAAATGAAATTCGTGGTTTATGGCATGCTATTAAGCTACTCAGCCCGAGAAGCAAGAATAATTAAAAATCTAACAAAGCAATTCTAATGACCTTCGCCAGGATGTACTTTAAAACGTACAAACAATAAATGACAATACCATATTTTTGCAGTTGATTGTGCCATAAACCGTTCTAAAGAAGACCTAACATATGAGGCAATTTATTGTTGTCAAATGTTATAAATTTTTAAAAATTTTTGGTTTTTCTTTACTTGAAAAGCATTACGGGAGATAAGCTCTTGACTCCTTAGAAGCTGATGAATTTATAACATTTTATAACAATAAATTGTTTCATATGACAGGTCGTTTAATTGGTAAAAAGAAAAAAAAAATTTTTATCCATTCCACCAGAGATAAATCATTTGTTAGCTGCTCCTGAAATAAATGTGAGCAGCTGTACTATTTCTCATGTACACGATAGTGACAGTGAAGACATGAATGATCTTCTATACACTTTTACACAATTAGATAAGCTTGAACTGGCAAATGAACTGACAGAATTTTAAATATATGTTCAATAAAAAACGATTGACGTTACCTACAGAATCATAAATAGCAGCAAGACGACTCACTTACATTCTTTAACATCTCGAGTAGTGAGAGGTAAGGGGACTCACTTTAATAAAGCACCCCGAATTACCGAAATGGTAATTATGGAGCTTCAAATCGTACTACAACATCCTCGTGGTAGGCTCTAGAAACTACAGAAATTGTAGGCAAACTACAGGCGTTTTTATTAGAAAATCTTATTTTTTTAATATTATAGATACCGTTGTGAATCCGATATTTTGAATTTTGAAACTTTAGTGTTATATTCGTTATCAGCGACCTCAAAAACCCCTAATTATCAAGTTTCAGAAAAATCGGATGAAATCTTGAATTTTGGCCAGTTTTTGGGGGTTCCTGGCCCACTGTGCGATGGAGTGATGGCCTGGTCTTTGTCATCCAGGGTCACAGGAAGAGAAAGCGCACGGATACTTGACGGTGTCATAAATTAAGCCCTTCCAATTTACTTCCAATTTAGGTTCCAACAGTTTCGCAGCAAGTTTCGTCGAACTAGACGAACACTCGAGACAGCGTAGTAATAATCAACGATTCATAAACTTATACATATACTTTTGTTAACGCCGAAAGTTATAGTTTTTCATTATTCATCTTATCTTACAATAATCATTGCAACTTGTATCTCTTATTTATATCAGAAAACGACATTGTTAAGTTATATTCGCCTATTTCAATCAAACTTATCCTAAGTAAGTATATCAGTAACAGACTAAAGCAGGGGTTCCCAAAGTTTTGCGTAGGTGGCCAAATTGAAAATTCCAAAATATTTGGCGGGTCATTAAGACAATTACGGCCATTGGCTGTATATGAAATTTAGTATTTTTTTAACTGAACAATTTTTAATTATAATATGATAAAATTTATTTATTTTTTTGTAAAAATGTAAATTATCTCTGTAAATTTAAGATCGCGGCTGATCTACCATCGCGGGCCGCATTTCTAGGGTTTGCTGGCCGCACTTTGGGAACCCCTGGACTAAAGAAAACCCACAACGATGTACATATGTACCTTTACCGCTCCAGATATATGTATCAATAATTACGGTGTTCGTCCGAACCATTTCTACTATCCGACAAACCTAAAGTGAAGTCTCAGGCGGGACTTAGGGCCTAGAAGTAGGAGATGTAGGGGAACTTACGATGGCTCGCTGTTAGCAAGCCAATAGGGATAGAACAAGGCTATCGCACTTACTCTTCTATGAACAATAGACGACGTTCGGGTTTCGTTCGAGCACTCGGTAAACAGATGAGCAGTCGATAATTGACCGGAATGATATTTTCAAGCGCTCGAAAAAAAATTAAGTTTATATGTATACGTCGCGCAGACACCATAAACAGGCGAACTAATTTTTTTATCCCATGTTCCCAAAATTTCTCTATTATTTCGATAAGCTTATTTTACGGGTTAAAATTCAAGCAATCCAATGGTATTTTTTCAAATTAATGTACGAGTGGGAACAATGTTAAATCAGCAATTGAAACTTCAGCAACGATTATTGTTATGTTTGCTAATAATAAATAAAATTCTGTATATATATACATATATCCAGAAAGATCATTTCTTTACCTTTTAAATGAGCTCAAGGTTGAAGTATTATTTTTAAACAAAGCCAAAATATTACGGTTAAAGTGATAATATGTCGGCTGATTTCTTGAAATGTTTCAAAATTTTAACATTAAATAGTGGCTGTTTGATGGCTTTTATTGGCTGTCGGTCTGTGGTGGCACGCTATTTTTCATTGCAGCCAGAAATTTTTTAGCTCCTTAAGCAATTTTT